ACAAAAGAAACGAATCAGATTTGGGTTCCTTGGTTTCTTCTATTAATATTTCAGTTAATGGGAGAAGAAAAGTATGTATATGCTAAAGAAGTAGCAAATGAGTGAACCTCGAAGAGACAGACTTGGTTATGCTTTGCTCCTTAATAAATTTACTTCCAAAAAATACATGATAGTGTAATTATGTGTCTAATATTTTTGAATGCAAGTAAATAGCATCTAAATTCCCTGTGAAAAATTAACTAAATAATTATCTTTTGTAGATAAAATTACTAAATAACATGATGTCAATAGACTCCTTAGAGCCTAATGTTCGTAAGTTTTTTGATGCTTAAACATGTAATATTGTTCATATCCTTACTAATTACCAACTTTTTTTTATATTTGATGGAATTTAGGCAGGAAGAATTCCTCTTACCTGCATTCTTAGGGATCCAAATCACATGATATATGCTAACTTATTTTATTAATAGTATCATGGAAAGCCGTATCGTCAGGTATGTTGTCTATAATTATTGTTATTTACTATTTAGTAGTAACCCTTCTAAGAGCTCTTTTTGTTATTCATTGATTTGTTGGTTGCAGGACTGGTGCATTTGATCAGCAAAAGCTAAGATTCCATTTTATTGAAGGTTGTTTATTTATATGTTTAGTGTACATTCAACCACTTTTTTTTCTTGAAGTCTATCAATACTTTTAATAGGGTTTGGTGACTGTTATTCAATAAGAATGGAAGTCAACATATTTTTCAATGATACAAAGCTCGATTCAGTGATATTTTCCTTGCAGCTGTGAAAAGAATCCATGATGGAGGAGCAAAAAAGAGGATATAAGGTAAAATACATGGCCACATTTGAATACTTACTTACAGGATGAACAACCTGGCTCAACCAAGCAAAATTTTAAACAACGAAAAAGAGAAAAGAGGCGTTAGGAACATTTTCGTTGCTACTATTTGAAAAAAAAAGAGAAAAAAAATTCCATTCAAACAAGACCGATGAAACGCTTGTTAAAGAAACAGGTCATTTTGGATATGTGAAGGTGAATTTGGATGGATTGCTGATTAGAAGGAATGTGGATCTAAATGACCATGATTTCTATGAAAATTTTGCTCAAACTCTTGAAAATTCTTCGGATAAAGCCCAAGTGCGTGGTAAACAAATAAAAAAGTGAAGGGTCATTGTTAAGTAATTTGCTCTAAACTATAATTGCTTTTTCATATAAATCAAATAATAATGTGATTTTTATTCTTTTTCAGATGGTCTCTCTCTAGTGCCATTATGCATGAAATGCTTGTGTGGTAGCCACAATCTCAACATTGCGTTTAGAAGGATACACATATAATTAAGTAAAAAACAAACGTACTTTTTGGGATCTCGATTTTGAAATAAGAACCAAAAGTCAATATGAAACCTTGAAAGTATGACCAAAATAGAAACGTCGGGGGTCCAAATTCGATATAGAACCTTTCAGTATAAACTAAAACCGAAAAAAGTTTCAATTCTAGACTAAAATCGTTAAAATCAGAAAGCATATTAACCATTTTTGTTATTAACTCTTTATTGTGTGTCATTAAAACATGGACTCTTGGATCGTGACCTATATTCATCTCATTAGAAATCGAATTAAGCCCAACATCCACCTCTTGAGGAACCACATCAGACGTGTTGGAATTAAAAATTTGGCCTGATAGCGCAACATGCAAAATATCTTGAGTGTTTTGTTCAGGTTCAAGGCATGTTGGAACTTTGTTTGTTGGATGCGAAAATAATGTCGGCAGAGAAGTAGAAGAACAATATGATACATTCAGGGAACAAAATAACCATTAATATTAGCAATTATAATTTTTATAAGTTATATAGTAAAGAACCATATGAAAATGACATAACCTAAAATACACCAAAAAATAACCGGCTTTGAACTTTATAGCCCCTTAAAATTTCAAAACCAATTTCCGACGTGGCTTCCACCATTTGTAAACATACGACTGCAACATTCAAGAAATTTGTGTTGATTAAAAGTCTAATATGCAATCAATGGTTATGCTTCTACATATGAAAATACGATGCTATAACATAAAACAATAAAAAACTATAACTGTATCTATGTAACCATGTGTGTGACAACGTATTTGTGTGTATGTGTAACGTTGTAAGTGAGTATGGTTGCAAATGAAATTGCCAACATCATTAATGATTTAGCTTTACTACATGGTTTTTATTTTTAATTTGTTGGTTTTGGGATTGGAAATACCCATAAATCCTCTCCTTAACGGAAATGACTATTTTGCCCCTGCTTAATCTGACCATTTGCAAATAATTATTGTATAGAGAAGTGTTGCACGATTAATAATGGGCAATCAACATATGTTAATAGACATTTCTAAAAAAATCCTAACTTTTCATTTTTAATTTTTATTGTTTTCGTTTATGCTAGCATGACTTTTTCTTGATAATTGTTTACCCGTTGTAACTATTTGCGTAAAACAACTAATCGCCTCTATAGCTAATTTCTAAAAAATAAACTATCCGCACCCGTCGCTCGGTGCGGGTAAACGGCTAGTGTGTATATATATATATATATATATATATAT